ACCGTAGTTGCAAAATACACCACAACGTATATTTAATGATAAAATTTCAACTTTGGAAGGGCACTCCTTTGAGATTAAGCATTTTAGAAGAAAATGCATAGTAGTTTAGTGGCCATATATAGAAATACCCAAACTATGGTCTTTCTGTTTCTTATTTGGCATAAGTATTAATCGAAACCAGAAAGAAAACAAAAAAAAGGCAAACAAATAGATAAATAAAAAATAGATAATTTGACTTCTTTTTACTTTAATAAGTTTTAGAAGTCACAGAGAAGCTTCTCTGTGACTCTTCCTTATGGCTATTGTCAGAAGTCAGGCAATTGAAGTGATAGCAATGTTTAGTGTCCTAATCTTATTAACTAAGAGAAGTCAGAAAGAATAGATTAAAAGCAGAGAAAGTAACCAAAGAGATATCACTAAGACGTCTATAAGGTAGCAAAAATATTAAATTCATTTCGCGGGTTTTGAGTAAATGATTTGTAAGTTTGACGTTCATCATGACGGCCAAAAAATTGCATACAAACCAAGCAAAGTACTCACTTTGAATGCCTTATTTTCTAGCCTTTTCTGACGTTCTTCTACTTTCTTTGTATATAAAAATATTTTTCACCACATACAACTTTATGAAACTAAATTTCAACAACGATTTTTCAAAAATTAAAGAGATGCTTATGGGTAGATTGTTTGTCTCGTCAGGTTGTGTAACTTGAGTCTTTATAAATGCCGTTGGTAGAGTAGTTGGTAGACCATACATTAACTTTTTCCTGCTTCCTAAGGCAGAGTGACAATAGTGAGTTAAGCCATATTTATAAAAGATTTGATTGCTTTTCTTTACAAAGAACATTGTGACAAAAAGTTTGAAATTCTCGAAGCTATAGTAAAATGCAGAAAAACAGCTACTGAAAAAATTGAAACTAAAAGCTAGAATTTGAAGGCAAATTTTGTCAAAAGCTTCTGCCATTAAATTTTGGTTCAAGAATTCTGTAGTTCCTAACAGTAAGCCTATTATTTTTTATGAAAATTATTAAAAGTGTAATCCCAAAAGGTCATTTTTAACAATAGATTATACACTTTATGTCAAAATCAATAGTTTCAAGGACAAAAACCCTATGTTAACATAAAAAAAGTTTGCCGCAGAATTATTCGACGCCCAACCTCAATCCAATGCCATCCATATTGAACGTGTGCCAAAATATCTCGCACACACCACCACACGTTATCGGTGACGGTACAAGAGGTCCCACGGCACCAGGAGGCGGCCACTTCATCGATCGTTTTCATTTCGTTACTGTGCCAGTCAAAATAAAACAAACCTTGTACACACACCGTTAGAGATAGGTTAATTTAGGTCTTAAACAGCCAAAATAGAACATACAAAGATACCTAAGTTTATTTAATTTTAAATCTAAACGGTTAAGTTGATCACTCTCTAATTGTATTCTCTTTGAAGATCTTTTGATATGAAATCGTGAAAACGCCCACGATTCGTATCGGTCATTGTACGTCATTGCACTTCCTCGGTTTCGCTTGTATTCCGGTCGTTATTACTCATCTACGAGTACAAAGATATTGCTTTTCTGGCCCTTGTACGGCTTCGACAATAATTTATGTTTGCTTTGTTTGGACGGATGTAAGAAAAGATATCGACGCGAAAGACACACGCCATATCGAAACAATAATCAATTTTATCTTTAGAGTTGAATCCGAATAACAATTATCAATTTAAACTCTGTTTCAACGTTATCTACATATTTGAATTGCATTTAATTTAAATAAATAATTTGCAACGCGCAATTTGCGTCGTTTGCAAAATCTAAATTCATAAACAAGCCACGTGGCGTATTTTAATTATCGTGATGATAAAACATGCTGAATTAAACGTTTTTATCGTTCAATACTGTAATAAATGGGTTCAAAAAAATTAATTAATTAAATTAAAAATCTTGTTTGAAGTAACTGTGAATAACACCGCAAAATTGACGCGGCATAATCGTGATTCGACCTCCACCGGTCAAAAACCGTTACCCATCACTCGGTTTGGCTCGTACAATTTTTTTTTAAAGCGAGCTGCTTTCGGAAAAGGTCACGTTGAGAAAGATGTAGCCTTCTCCGTGTGTTATCCTCTTCGCCGCAATTTCTAGATTACACTCGAGAGTTTAAAAATAAACCGAGCGAAGCTTATTTCGTGTTGTTGAAAACATTCCTTTGGGATGCGGAAAAGGGAACGTTAAAAACCCATCTCTCTTCTTTATTATTATCTTTATATTCACTCTTTAACTATAACCACAAAGACCTCCTTTTTTCATTTTGGAATTCCGACAGAAAGGAATTTTTATCATCGTTTGGGAAGTCAACAAGAAAAAAGACTTTTTTGTTTCTTGTTAGATAAAGCTTATGTTAGAGGAAGATTATTCGAAAGTTTTTTTTAATGATATAGCTTGTAAACGAAGGAATGTCTTAAAAGGAAGGAATGTTAAGCAACTCCGTCAGGTATGCCTTTAGGTTTAAACCATTCTGGTTCTTGGAAGAGAGAAGAAAGGAAGCAGAATCGATAAAGGCGGCCGAAATGCATAGCCTTGGGTTTATAGACCCATTACAGTCGTGTCTATCTCGATTTTACAACGTTTTAGAACTTGTTATGTTAGACGTTGACGTGAATGTGTTTAGTAACAACCTGCTCTACGAAATTTTTGTATGTCATAAAGTTTTAATCTTCAAATCTAGTACAAGTGTCTAAGAATAAGGTTTTTATTCTTAAAGAGAAAGTTTCTAGAACTGTTAAACATGAAAATTAAATGTTAATTCATGTTTGTTTTTTGTAGGAATAAAATAGTTGCTAATGGAATCTTTCCCAGGAGAGTTGTAACTCAAAAAACTTTAAAATCTTGAATGTTGACAAATTTTGATTTTNTCTTAAAGAGAAAGTTTCTAGAACTGTTAAACATGAAAATTAAATGTTAATTCATGTTTGTTTTTTGTAGGAATAAAATAGTTGCTAATGGAATCTTTCCCAGGAGAGTTGTAACTCAAAAAACTTTAAAATCTTGAATGTTGACAAATTTTGATTGTGCTTTCAGCAAAAATTTGATGCACTTGAATGTTGTAGGAAGCAAAATCCCGAAGAACCTTTTTTCATTGCATTTTTTGATGATTCTTTTTTATAGGAACAAAATAGTTGTTGATAAAATCTTTCCCAGAAAAGTTGCAACTCATGAAACCTTAAAATTTTGAACGTTGAAAAATTTTGATTTTGTTTTCAGCAAAAATTTTGATGAAATTGAATGTTGTAGGAGGCAAAATCCCGAAGAACCTTTCTTCATTGCGTTTTTTGAACGTTGAAAAATTTTGATTTTGCTTTTAGCAAAAATTTTTACTTACTTGAATGTTGTAGAAAGCAAAATCTTGAAAAACCTTTTTTCATTGCATTTTTTGATGATTCTTTTTTGTAAGATTAAAATAGTTGCTAATGGAATCTTTTCCAGAAGAGTTGCAACTCATAAAATCTTAAAATCTTGAACGTTAAGAATTTAGATTTTGCTATCAGCATAAATTTTGATGAACTTGAATGATGTAGGAGGCAAAATCCCGAAGAACCTTTCTTCATTGCATTTTTTGATGATTCTTTTATGTAGGAACAAAATGTTGCTAATGAAATCTTTCGCAGAAGAGTTGCAACTCATAAAACCTTAAAATCATGAACGTTGAAAAATTTAGATTTTGCTTTCAGCAAAGATTTGATGCACTTGAATGATGTAGGAAGCAAAATCCCGAAGAATCTTTCTTCATTGCATTTCTTGATGATTCTTTTTTGTAGGAACAAAATAGTTGCTAATGGAATCTTTTCCAGAAGAGTTGCAACTCATAAAACCTTAAAATCTTGAACGTTAAAAATTTAGATTTTGCTATCAGCATAAATTTTGATGAACTTGAATGATGTAGGAGGCAAAATCTCGAAGAACCCTACGTCAATGCATTTTTGATGATTCTTTTTTGTAAGAACAAAATAGTTACTAATGGAATTTTTCCCAGAAGAGTTACAACTTATAAAACCTTAAAATCGTGAACGCTGAAAAATTTACATTTTGCTTTTAGCAAAAATTTGATGCACTTCAATGTTTTAGGAGGCAAAATCCCGAAGAACCTTTCTTCATTGCTTTTTTTGATGAGTCTTTTATGTATGCACAAAATAGTTGCTAATGAAATCTTTTCCAGAAGAACTGAAACTCATAAAACCTCAAAATATTGATAAACTTGAATGTTGTAGGAGGCAAAATCCCGAAGAACCTTTCTTCATTGCGTTTTTTGATGATTTCACATAAAAATATATAATTTTGTCTTGTTTTTCATGTCAATTTTTGGGTTGAATTGATTCTCTGACGTAGCGTNTTTCTTCATTGCATGTTTTGATAATTTCACAAAAAAATATATAATTTTGTCTTGTTTTTCATATCAATTTTTGGGTTGAATTGATTCTCTGACGTAGCGTTTTCCAAACTTTGTCTCGTAAAAAAATTCTAAGTGTTATGCAATCAAAATAAAAAGCCGAATTTAAACTGGAATACATGCTAACACATTTAAATTGTTGTCAAAAAACATTTTAGAACCAACTTTGTAAAACACTACATTAGCAAATAAATAAATACATCAAATGATTTCAGAATCAAAATTATGTGTATGCCATAATTTTGTGCATTTCAAATTGTTGAGAACAAAATTGAAATTGTATTTTTCGATATCATCATGACCTGGTTATTCAAAACACGAATATTTTGATTGTAATTTTGGTTAAAAGACGATTATGCGCTTCTGCACCAACATGAAATGCGTTCTCTAGTTATTGATTTTGGCCTTAGGTCGGACACTGTAATAAGGGGTTGACTTTAAGCATGGCGCACGCGCCAACCCCTGACACTGTTTTGTTTATTGATGTTTTTTACAATTTGCATTAAAATTGCATTAAAAACTGCAGCAAAACAAATTAGGAAAAAATGTTTACTCACTGGCATTCGTTCATGATCTCCTCTTGACTCCTAACTTGAACCGGTGCCAGCTTCTCAACACTCTCCTCGTAATTTCCAAAACATTTAGTTATCTTTTCATCAAATGTATTTACCAAATCCTCCAAGGATCCAGAAAATGTTTCTGTAAAATTATCAGCAACCGAACCATCTTTTCTTCCTCCGACACCGTTTTGTATGAAACCACCCCCAAGTTCCCCATTTGAGTTATCATTCAACAGTATATCCCCGTTAAATTCTTTGAGTACATCCCCAATTTTAGCAGCGTTCTTTTTATTCAAATTGAGATCTTTGTCAACATCAGCTTCGTTCTTCTTCATATTTTGTGTAGTCCCGTTTTGATGGAACTCAGTGGAGCCCCACTCGTCTGTCTCTTCGAATTGGGCCAGGGGCGCCTCGAACTTTAACTCGGCCATTTTACTTGCGAGATCGCGCATGGCTCTAAACGCGACGACCCGACGGCCACATCCACACCACTACAACTGAAGGCAAAGCGCGTGTTTTTGCATCGGGCAGCAGCCAGCCGGCGGTTTTTGGCCCCCCCGTTTTCAACCGCCTGTAGTATGCGTGTTTGGGCTACGATTCTACTTGACGGTGCCCGATGAGTCAAGTGGGAGAAAATTGATCTTAATTAATCTAAAAGCAAAGAGAATAAGATTACTAACATAATCAAGAGTTAATTAATCCTTAACTAAATGTATCATAATCACAATTTTTATTATAGCTGAATTTTGAATGTTGAAAATGTTGGGATTTAAGGGATGATTTTTAAAATTAAAATTAATTGAATAAGGTTGATTAGAGTTTGATACATAAAAGATTTTGATACATTTAATTGTGATTTTTATAAATACACAAATTTTATCATATTTTTTTATCGAAAAACATGTCGGATTTTTGATAAAGTATTTTTAGATGTACATTGATAAAACTCAAAATGGTTCATTTATTACAGATATCTTTACTTTATAGAAATCTTTAACTTAAAGAAAACATCAATACATTTAGAGCTATTTTGGTTGCCTAACTCAATAAATAGCAAATTAGTATTGTATTAAAGCATTATGCTACATCACTAGAAACTGGTAATAGATAAATATTAAATAATTATGGATTATGAGTTCTTGATGCATTAGGAATATTTTTTATTCAAAACGTCTTTCTCCATCACTTTTAGTACTTAGATTATAATAGATTTTATTAAGAAAAATCATCCAATTTTGACATTTTGGGGATTTATGCTACATCACTAGAAAATGGTGATAGATAAATATGAAATAATTATCGATTATGATTTCTTGATGGATTAAAAATATTTTTTATTTATAACATCTTTCTCCATCAGTTTTAGTACTTAGGTTATAGGTAATTGATTTTATTAAGAAAAATCATCCTATTTTGACATATTGGGAATTTATGTTATATCACTAGAAACTGGTGACAGATAAAGATGAAATTATTATGGATTATAATTTCTTGATGTATTAGGAATACTTTTTATTCATACCGTCTTTCTCCATCAGTTTTAGTATTTACGACATAATTAATTTTATTAAGAAAAAAACATTCATTTTTGACATTTTGTGATTTATGGTATCACTAAAAACTGGTGATAGATGAATATAAAATAAGTATGGATTATGATTGCTGGCTACTTTCTCTGGTTGAGTTGGCTTGGGTTGGGTTGGATTGGGTTGGGTTGAGTTGGGTTAAATAACAACTAAGAAATCACTAAAGTACCTTGAATTATACTAGGAACAGACATTACATGGAAAGAGGATACCGTTTTCTGCATTTTGTTTAGAATGTAGTCAATTCTAAACAAGACGCAGAAAACGATTAACGCCCTCCATAGAGTGATGGGTTCAACTTACGGACCCAGGGAAGAAAAGAGGAAGCTCATCGCGTCGATGGTATACTCCAAGATGCTTTACTGAAAAAAATCGTAAATGCAAAATCGGAAAAGTTTTGGCACCTGAAAATTGCGTCAATACCATGCTAGAGGAGGAAGAAAAATGGAATCACATCAAGGGATACATAAGGAAGGTAGTAGAGACGAAGGAAGGGGAAGAAGAGATGATGAGAGAGGCCAGGGATAAGGGAAACCTCATAGTCCTGGCCGTAGGAACGACACTCGGGAAGAAAGAACAATGCCCAGGAAGAAGATGAGGGGAAGTCACGATATTGTAAGTACAAGCTTTTTAAAAGGCATGGAATTTATTCCATTTTATCGATATGTCAACGTGAGGGAGAGGAGTAGATCTCGAAAAAGAGGAGACGTGGAAGAACAAGACGCAAAAGAACAACGCCATGGAAGAAGAGGAGGTGGAGTCACGACGGCTTCCTTGAGACAGGGGTTTTTAGTGGGTCGGGGCCTCTGGCCTCAACCCCACACTATCTGTCCGCCCACATCCTAGGCCAGATGTCTGTTTGTAGATTTTCTTCGACCTTGTTAAAAAAAAGCGGGTTGGGTTGGATTGGGTTGGGTTTGATTGGGTTCTAACTGAAGGATGCAGTAAATATTCGTCACATTACCACAATCTCACAATATAATGAATCCCATCTGCTAACTCCAACAACTACCGAGACCAGAATCTTAGTAGAAGAACTAAAGGTAGAAATAGCAAACCTCGCTATTAAAAAAGCTCCAGGCCTAGATCAGATACCTAATATAGTAATAAAACACCTTCTTGAGAAACTACTGAGTCACATCAAAGGAATTTTTAATCGTTGTGAAATCCTAATGTTCAGAAAGTCAGGCAAAATCAATACGGACCAAGTCAATTATCGCCTAATCAGTTTCTTCTCATCGTTATCTAAGCTATTCGAACGAGTAAAATCCCAATGATCCAGTACGGATTTAGAGAGGGACACTCCACGGTTCACCAACTGGCAAGAGTAGCGGAATATATCGAGGAAGGGTTCGAGGTTAAAAAGTTTACAGCTGTTGTTTCGCTGGATGTAGTAAGGGCCTTTGATACTGTCAGGATTGAAGGATTAAAATACAAGCTCAATCAAACGGGGTTAAGCAACTATTTACATTGCCATTCTGTTCTCCTTTCTGGAGGAGAGAAGTTTCTCCGTCACCATCAATGGATACTCCTCCACCACTCGAAGAATACTTGCAGGCGTCCCACAAGGTAGTAGTTTATCCCCTGCTCTGTTCAACATCTTTACGCATGACATCCCGACCGACGTAAACTTCGAAATGGCCATGTTTGCGGATGATATGTTAATAATGGGACAAAACGACATCCTTATTGATGCTATTGAGACACTTCAAAGGTCAGCGGACAAAATCCAGCAAATGCCAGAGCAAGATTTTTTCGCTAAGACTTTAGCGAATTGCTCCTTATATTATTGTAAACGATCAAGAAATACAGTGGAAAGCAAAAGATGAAGACATTAAATACCTCGAAGTTCTCCTTGATCACTGCCTCACATAAACTCAAAGGTCAACCAAGGATATGCCAGGCTTCGCCAATTATATCCTCTGATCAGCAGAAAATCACTTTACAAAGCCCTCATCAGGCCACTAGTAACTTACGCCTGCCCAGTTTGGAGCAATTCATCAACTACAAACCCTACAAAATAAACTTCTGCGGATCTCAGTGAACGCGCCGTGGTTTGTAAGAAACGAGGAGCTCCATGAAGACTTAAATGTCCCAACTATCAGCCTAGCCCAAGACCTAATAGCATCCGATTCGGACTAGCATTTCACAGCTCGGAAATTACATATTCTGTAATCCATAGTATTTATATGTAATTATTTCTTTTTTTGTATCAATGCAACCACGAAAAACATTGTCATTGTTGTCTCATTGTTGTGTCTCATTCCAAAGACACAGCTGCATTCCAGCCTGTTAGAGTCCTCCATTCAGTTAGTGGTCTTGCAGTTCCATAAGACCATGGCAGCACACTCTATCAAGGAGAAGAAATTCGACTATGACAGCTTTGAAATCTTTTTGTTATAATAGCTGAACAGAGATGCATGAACTGCAGCTAACGATTATATACATATACTTTTGATAACATTAGATATCGAGCCTTGGGTGTGGTCTTGAGAACGAAGAGCGCACAAGAGATTTTTGTGACTACATTTATAGACTCTATTTTCAGCAAAATACCGTACTGAATTTTATTATTTTATTAATTAACTACACAAATCCGTTGACGGTCGAGATATGAAAGATCGTGATATCCTATGAATAGACGACTTTATCTTTGGGTCAGACTTCGTCTAGAACTATTGTATCCGTGTCAAGGTGGTGCCCAGCAGATCGCAAACTCTAAGGTAGGCAAGTCGAATCTTGTCATGTCATCCAGGACTGTTTCCAAAAGCAATTAAGATGTTAACCATAAAGAATTTAGCCAAAATTGGCTATATAATCACTGACGGAAGTTATCCAGTTCTGGATAACGCTTGATGGACGTCTAATTTTAACAAGTCTTTTCAGGACTAGAAACGCCATCTAAACTTGTGATCAAAATTTGATAAATAGAAGAAATAGATTGAGTTAATGTTAGGAAATTTTTATTTTTCGGTTTTCTCAAGGTGTTTAAACGAACATCTAAAATTTGAACTTCTTTCAATGTTAAAGACCTCATAATTCAATATTTAAAGATAATATCTTTTTATTATCTTCTTACGTGTGTTCAGTAAAAATAAATGATGTTGAGGTCAAATGGCGAATAAAATTAAAATTTAAACAGTTTAGCCATCATTAAAAGAATCTTTTTCTCATACTTCAATTTAAAATAAATTAATTTTCAATTTAAATTCATTGCCAAAATACAAAAAAGAAGGATTTTAAAGAATCTTGAGAACTCATCCACCTCAACCTTGTGCAGGTCGTAGATCAGTATAGGTATTTTCTTCTCATATATTTTCTTCGCTTCTTTAATTCATACGTGAGCTTATTAGACACGCTAACAAGAAAGGTTACCGGCGGTGTTTCGCCCGTGTTGATAAATTAACCAGATATACAGTCTGTTGCAAACACACAGCGTGTCGTCCGTATAAAAACAATACGATTTCGCCGGTGTTGTTTAGATTTTTCGCGAGATCCCACCACGAAACATCCTATTTGAAAAAGAAAAAAACTAAGTAAAAAATCCCCCTAAAAAATCTTCCATCTCACTATTCGTCTTTTTTATTTCTTTCTACTCAGCCAATTTGAAATCAGAGCTTCGAGCTGTTTCAACATTAACGTTTAGTTTGAGTTAAACCATCAAAGTTTTTGGTTCGACTTAAAAAATGGCAAAAATGACTGCTTTATGTTACAATTTTCTATTGATTACCGCGATTTGTGTAATTAAAGAAGTGAAATGTGCTGGAGAACCACATATAATTATCATTATCGCCGATGATCTTGTAAGTTTATCTTTTGCAATCTTAACTTAACATTTTTCTCCTTCAAGCTTAAAAAACATGTATTCAAAATTACCATAAGAACCTATTGTTACATCTCGTTATCAACGTATTGTATCTGAGAATTACACCAAGAGGAAAAGATTTTCTAATCAATTAACGAAATTTATGATCGAATCTTCTTCACGGTTATTTAATGATTACCTAATCTGACCGATATATTCATGGAAATCCCATTAGTTTAAATTTAAATCCTCAATCTTAGTTGAAATTATCTTGAGAAAAAAAATAATAATTTAATTGTTTGTAAGCAAGTCATTCTTATTATGAGTCAATCGCGTGTATTTTACATGATGGAATTTTTTTCTAAAACGATTATTGAATTTCAAAGAAATTTAAATCTTAAATTACGATTTCTTTGTAAGCTTTGAATGATAAGATTATTTTGAAATTTAAGTAGATTTTGATAACTTTGTAAAGTTATCTGATACTTTTAATGGAAGTTAATAGAAATAATTATAAGTACAGATTAAATTTTTGAAAATCATACAATTAAACAAAATTGATCAAGATTCAACATTAAATTTAACAATAACGTGCAACACTGTATTATTTCTGTCTAAATTATGAATATTTGATTGTTACGATTCGTAAAGTCTGATCAATTTGTGTCCAAGAAGCTCAATTAGTCATTGCGCATAAGAATTGCATATTCTGACAATAGACCATGCAAAGCGAAAAGATTTCCACAATTGGAGCGTTAAACAACAAGAAGTGAATGTCTATTTTATGGATAAAATCATTTTCAGCGCTGAAGCTTTCGTTTTTAGATCGATGGTTTTATGACAAACAAATACATTCATGACACAGATCTGCAAAAAAAAGGGATTTCGATTGTTGTTGACGGTCAATTCCGAAGTAATTTTCTGCATGGAATCAGAATTTGAGTTCAGAATTGGACCATCATGTCAGGATTTTGAGATATTTGAGGTTATGTACAACAAATGGCTTTTTGGCTACATCATCACAGCTTTCATTATTAGTTATGATCATTTTTAAATGATCATAACTTTTAAATGAATTGGAACCCAGCATATGGATCAGTACTGTCAAATGAGGGGGACACGGCAGTCTGAACTTTGTATTGTTAACTTTTGTGGAATCTCTTTTGCTTGTGTTCCATAGATCTTATGCCAGATCGATACTTATGTTGAGCATGTTGCTCATCACGTTGAAGTGACCAGCAATAGTTGGCTAGCATAAATGTGAAAAACATTTTCCTTGTTCACTAACTCGGTAACATCACCTAAATAGTCAGGAAACCAATGTAAATGAGAGTGCAAATAGTGCATAATTTTTTGAAGTTTTCTATCATCACAGCTACTAAAACTTTATAATTAGCAGCTTTATTATTGTCTAAGAAACCACTGACAACTTCTTTGAAGCTAGTCCAGGCATCTCTTTCATCCGAAATCATCACATTTTCAAAATCAGTAGTTTTTATCAATTCTCGAATCTGTGGCCCAATGAATATTCCTTCTTTTATTTTGGCATCACTCAAGTTGGGATATTCTACAAGGTACTTAAAATTTTTATTAAGGGCCTTTACGAACTGCTTCATGATTTCTAATTTGATATAAAGTGGGTGATCTTTTTTGCATTAATTAATGGATCTTTGAGAACGTTTGGGTCTCCTGCTTCGAGGCAAGTACGAATAGGTCAATTCTTTTTAACATAGTGCTGTTCTCTATCTCTGCTATCCCATAAACATATAAAACATGGGTATTTTGTAAAATCCAACTGTTGTTCAAGGAGCATGCCAGTAATTTTCAAGTTTCCATATACTATATTCCATTTGTGCTGTTTATATTTAATACCTTCAAGAACAGTTTTAACATTGTCGTATGATTCTTTTGAGTATACGGCAATAGTATATAATCAGCAATAGGCAAGGAAACGTATTTATTGGAGTTATGTAGCAAAACTGCTTTCAAACTTCTCTTAGAGGAATCAATAAACAACCTCTCCAATTGGCAGGATCATATTATAACAGTCCACATTTTTGCACGAGGGCACTGACATCATTACAATAAACAATACTGCGTTCAGTGTTCAACTTCAAGTGTTATAACTTATGAAGGAAAAATAATACAGCACCGTTCAATAGCGTATTTTGAAAGGCAAGGATAGTAATGAATGATGTAATAGATAAAATAGAGCAAAAATATATTATGCATACATTCAAAGGTAGCCGAAAAGCCATTTTTCTTGTACACAACCTCAGATATTTTAAAATCCTACCGTGATGGTCCAATTCTGAGCTCGGATTATGATTCTACACAGAAAATTACTTCGAAAATAACTCTCAGCTAACCGACAACAAAACCTTGCAGATCTGTGTAATTTATCAACACTTTTCTTTGAAAATGGGTCAAGTAAACCATTAACAATAGATGATGGATATTTTCATGCTAGTGTTATTCCCTGTTTTAAAGACTAGAATAGGTCACCACGATATTCTTAATTTACTCAGCCGGTATATATTTCCAGGCAATAATTACCCAGAAAATTTGATCAAAAAGATAATTACCACTTTCTATGCTGTAACAATGCAAGAAACATTTCGTTCTATTCTACGTTTCAATCGATGCCAAAAGATCATTTTAGTCGTTGGGGATGGTCTACCATACAGCAATAAGTCGTTTTGGCAAAACCGTTCTTTATCACAGAAGTACCTAGAATGTATGTTTGTATGCGAATCTCTAAGAAGGCATTGGTGTTTTGTAAATGCGTCGATACAAAGTCTTTTTGTTAAAACTGGGATTCTATTTAACGGAAATCTGTAACACAGGAGTTTTGATCGTTTGGCACTATGCTACTCATCTCAACTCACTCGGAATCTCATATGCGAGAATCGTGCTTCCATGAGTTGAAAAAAATGTTGCAATGTTTTCAACAACTTTCTCGCAATCTTTGTTTTGGTATCAATTGTTGTAGTATCGTTAATTTACCTTTGTGTCCACGAAATTTTTAGCATTCTACGTCAGCACAATATCTTCAAGGTATCGATTTTGCAGAGGTAAGATGTAGTCTTGATATACAGACTTGATATTCTGTATATATTTGACTTAATAGAAACATGATAAGGAGGCAATGCAGAGATATGTAGAAAAATTTCCATGCTACTTTATGCAAGCTACTATACCCTTGTCTGATTCGTTTTTCCACCTATAATCCTTGCTCTCAATTTTTACGTATGCTGTACAGACTCTTGATGATGGTTATGAGGTATTTTGGTAAGCGCATTTCATTCATTATGTGCCAGTGAATGCAATCAAAGGACAAAGGCCTTTGATGTGCTCCCTATGTTAAATTCTCTGACCTTTTCTATGATTTGACATAAAATGTGACAATATGTAGGGCATTAGGCGTTTTGCTATTATTTGAACCTCTCTGGAACCTTTTTTGTGGAGTGAGACATATATCGATTTAGTGCAGTCCTCAGATCCCAAATTATTTGGCATATTGTGTGCACAACATTTATTCTCGGATTTTCTAGTGGTGTTATCATTTCGGTCACGACGTTTCTGAGTGTAGGACTTACTTCGTCTCTCATAACTGAGGACTCCTTTCTGTGTTTTCTATTCTTTGTTGTTGGTTATCTCGGTTGCTATCTGTTGACATTAATTGCTTGCAGTAACTATTCCAGCGTTCCTTGACCTGAGATTTGTCAGACAATAGTGTATTATTCTAGGGTTATATGCTGCGCGTCTGTCTAAGTTTCATGAACATACACCAGTTTCGTTTTTGTGTGTGTGTGGTGGTCTTATCTTTCCTGCAGTCCTTTTTGATCTCTTTACATAGTGCTGCGTGTTTCATTTTTTTGTCGTTATCTCGCAAACCCCTAATTTTTAGTTACTTCCTCCGTTCCACCTTGTCCCAAGTTTCCTGGAATATCCTTTGTTTCGTCACCTTGTGTCCTTCTTATAATGCAGCATCAGTTAGCCCCTTATTTGTTTTGATCCACTGCGAGTCAGTGGTCTCATTTGTGTTTATGCTTGAGTTAATTTTGGCGATTTCTTCATTAGCTTTTGCCTTGAAGCTTTCCAAGTTTTTGGGACACCAAGGGTTTTTGAAATGCTTGTTTGGTTTTGGTTTATTTTGATATCTATATAGAACCCCAAAACATCATGCACCTTAACACAAAAAGTCAGACAACTGCTTTAAGGGCAAAATTGACGAGAATCATTGCATCTAAAATTAATTTTTTATTTCGATTCTTTATCTTTAGGGTTGGAATGATGTTAGTTATCACGGAAGTAGTCAAATAATGACCCCCAACATCGATTGCCTTGCATACAACGGAATAATATTAAACAGCCATTACGTGCAACCTTCTGGTTCAGCAACAAGAGCTGCTTTATTAACTGGAAAATACCCCATCAAATTAGGTAATTAAAAATTTTATTATTACAAGAAATTATTTAATTGCTTAATTAATATTCAGGAATGCAAGGTGAATCAATAAAACCCGGCGTCCCCGTTGGTTTGCCAGACGGAAAAATCCTCCCAGAATATCTCAAAGATATCGGTTACGCAACTCATTTCGTTGGAAAATGGAATTTAGGTCAAAGCCGATGGAATGATACTCCAACCCATCGCGGTTTTGATCATCATTTTGGATTTTTTAATGGATGGACAAGTTATTATGATTATTTAACTACAGTAACTGTAAGAATTTATATTTTTATTAAGACACCCAACTTAATTAAATTTTTTTATGATTAGGTTAACGGAAAAGAATACACGGGTTTTGATTTAAGAAGAGACACCCAACCAGCTTGGGATCTTTCCGGTCAATACGCAACCGACATTTTTACAACATACGCAACCGATACAATCCAACAACACGACGTCGCAAGACCTCTATTTATGGTAATTTCTCATTTAGCAGCTCACGCAGCGAATCCTTCGAAATCATTGGAAGCACCACAAGAAAGTATCGATAAATTTGGGCACATCATTGATTCGGGGAGAAGAACTTATGCAGGGATGGTTTCGAAAATTGATGATAGTGTAGGAGCTATCGTTTCATCTTTAGAACAAAAAGGAATTTTTGATAACACCGTAATTTTGTTTATTTCCGATGGGGGAGCTGCAAGCGTTGGTGAAATTGGAAATAGAAATTTTGGCTCAAATTATCCTTTTAAAGGGATAAAAGGGTCTTTATGGGAGGGTGGAGTTCGAAGCGTGGCGTTTATTTCAAGCCAGTTATTCCTACAACGTGGAAGAGTTAGTACTGATTTAATTCATGTAACGGATTGGTAAGAAAATTTTTTTATAACAAATAAGTTGTTTTTAAAATTTGTTAAATCTTTTTTTAGGTTGCCAACGATATTATCTGCAGCAAACAGCGAGGTCAACCTCTTCGATTTAGATATCGATGGTGTTGATTTATGGTCGAGCTTAAATTACAATTTCGATACAACACGTCGAAGCACTCTCATAAATATTGATGAGAAAAACAGGAACGCCGCTTTGATCCTTTCCTCGTTTAAATTAATTGTTGGCTCGACCCTCAACGGTTCTTACGATGATTATTTCGGGGAATCTGGCGAAGAAAACCTTCAACCGATTTCTTACAACAGCTCCGCAGTTTTTAATAGCTTGGTTGGTCAAACGATAACGAAATTAAGCTATCAACCCACAAACGAATTCGAATATGAATCATTAAGGAATCTAGCTACAATTAAATGCGAAGGAAGCGATGGAAAACACCCTTGCGATCTATCAGATGGAGGAATTTGTTTATTTAATTTAGCTAAAGATCCTTGCGAACAAGACAACATGATAAATATGCTTCCAAGTTTGGTGAGACAAATGAAAAGGAAAATTGTTGAGTACAGAGAGGGGTTGATAGAACAATTTGAAATGATACCCAATATTGAGGAGAGCGACCCAAAGAAATTCCAATATGCTTGGAATCCTTGGAAAGAATGCGTTGATGCTTTATGTACCGCTTAAAAATTATGTTTTAAATATTATGTTTGTATTATGTATCATTTTTTAGTTTATAAACGCATTAATTGAATGATATTGTAGTTTTCTTTAATTGTGTCAAGCTATTTGATATAAGAAAGAATGATTTACAGTTTTCTGTAGTTGCTAATTTTTATAAATAACTCTAGATGGAACCACAAGATCTACTTTAAATCCAAAATCTTAGTTTATAAAATTTTACATATTTATTTATTACAATTCATAAAGGAAAAGTAACAAAATAATTACTTTTAATGAATAATCACCTTGGTGGTAAGTCAGCAAAAACAGAAACTATCGTTTATTAACATTATTTCTCATTCTATAACAATAAAAAGTTATAAAGAATAACAATTAGCATAAAACATAAAACACATTTTTATGCCGCCTCTACTTAAATATTACATATTGATTGATACCAGTTGACACTGAGATTTTTTCATTTTTTTTCTTTGCATTTCTATACATCATAATTCCTATTGCGGAATAAATGAACTATTTCTAGAGAATATGAGTGATATACATGGTGTTTTATAATTATAATCATTTATATCAGCAATAAAGATCTCATTAATGAATAAGAAATTGATTGATTTCTTTTAGGCTTTCAATTAAAGATAAGATTTGGTATACAAAACAACAATGATTATGAGATTCTTTACGACGCGATACAAATGGATAGGAATTAATTTGAAAAGATTTGACACGAGTTTCTTAATGAGTTCAGAGAGTTTTCAGGTTTTGAAGCAACTGGTACCAGCATCTTTGACAAAAACAGAACAGAAATTAACAACTGGTATTTCCCCAGCTAAAAATGTATGCATATAGAATGTAAAAACGCAGCATTATTGAGTTAGTGTATAATTTACTTTGTCGTTGAACATATTGTGGAATACGGCTTTTCTTATGTACTCTTTCCAGCTTCGCCAAATTGCTCATTAAGCAAAAGAAATTTTGTTTTGAGGTCCTATATAGATGTTTCATTCAATTTTTTGGAACCCAGCAACAAAACCTTACAAAAGACCAAGTTGCTACCACCAGCATTATGTTTTGTATATGTTCCTTGATCCATGGAGAACAACAACCCTAATGGTATTTTAGGCCCGCAAAACAAACATCATTTCATGCTCGGAAATATTACGGTTATTCTACAATGAGTGGAAGGTTCATCCGCAAAACAAAACGGGCGATACCTCAAGTCCATCAACAAGTAGACTCCTATGCTTATTGGAAGGTGCGGAAAATATATATGAAGTAGACTAACTTACAGCATCTAACTTGCTAACATGGATTCCGTCAGGGAAAATCGATGATATTATGCGTGGCTCATAAATCATCATTCCATGTCGATCGTGTGACATTACATTGGATATTAGAAATACCTTCAATTCTGCTCGCTTGGATAAGAAATTTTGCTTCCAAAATCAGAATTTTGCAATTTCGTATTATGTAATGTGGATCATATCTTTCGAACTGTGTACTTATCAACGACACTCTGTAAGGACCAAAATCCACCCTGGTCCGAGCTTAACGTCGTAGAAAAAATCAGTGTAAACTAGGATCGGCTCCCATTGGAGGTGAAACCGAGATCACCAAAAGGAAAACCATTAAATATCTAGGAAGCATCTCTTTCTGTCAACACCTTAGGTTGGCCAGTGATCAGTGTCTGGATCCATGTTGTTCATGGCAGCCGACGTATCGGTCGTAGCGGTGCGGTTGCATATGGGTTAGAACATACACATTACATTATGGCAGTTGATGTGGAATGGTGAAAGCTAAAGTAGGTGAACGGCAAGACTGATCATGTATATTTCCCGTTGGTACACTTCAAAATACTGGAAATAAGCCATTACGTAATGCAATTCCTCACGGAGTACTGACATTTTCGAAAATATATTCAAGATGGGTCTAATGAAGAAGAAAAGAATGTTCCAGAATAAGAAAAGAATTAAGAAACTCTCTCTGATTCCACCTGTCCTTTACAATGTGATGTGATGGATCTGATATGAAGATTGAAAACCGAAGAAGATCCCCAGTGGAATGAAGAGCAGAGTAATACATAAAAGTAATAGCAAAAATTAAAATTACATCCAGAAGAGTGGCACAACTTTGAGTACACAGATTAAAAGAAATCTTTTCCATACAGTCATAACCATAACGTAATCAACTGTTTTCTTCAAGAATGGAGTTTTATATAGTACTTAGATGTCAACAATTTCTTCCTGTATTAAAATACAAACATGTTCCACATGAATAGTACCTTCATTGATTCTTCTAAACTTAGTTTAAACGCGATATTGGTTGACAACGGTAATAAATATCTATCCATATATGTAGCTCATGTACTCGTTTTGGAATGTAATTGTGGTAACCCTTGTTATTCTTTCATCTGTAAATGGAATATCCGCGCAATTTTCTCTGCGTACAAAAAAATTTCGCAGTTATAAAACACCACTAACAATCTATCTAATCCTATAAGGTATTTCTTTGCATATTGATTTGGAATTGTATAATTTTCGTTAAAGCAATCCTTGTAACTTCGTGTAAATTTCGAGTTTTATAATATAAACCGTGTTTTTATTTACATTGAAATCCTCATTTCAATTTTCAATTAATAATATTTGGCTTACTGTTTGTGTTATATTAGTAATAATTTCAGCTAATATGTAATTCAAACGCGTTAATATAAGAAAATAGCACTTATTAATAATACTAAATTTTATAACCACGTGATTGCGAGAAAAGCAGAGTCGTTGCTCTATCAAACAAGTTTGAAGTTCATTGAAACACCAAAATGTTTATTCACTTACTGAGGCACTGTTCAGGATTACAGTAAATGCATTCTAACTACATTTTAAATTAGTTCTTGTGTTTCCATTCTATTGTGTTTAATGCTTCTTCGTCTTCTTCTTCTTATCGAAAGCTTTATAACTCGTTATGACGCTTCGTCATTCCTAATTCTGCGTCTCCTGTGATACTGGTGTCCAGTTATCTTTCCATCTCTTTGTAGAAAAAAGAATGTTCCAGAATAAGAAAGATGCTGGCAAACGAAAACGTAAAAGTAATAGCAAAAATCAAAATTATATCCAGAAGAGTGGCATCGGAATAGAGAGGGAATCATTTAGGAAGCGTAGACGGTGGGAGATTGTAGCTCCTCCACCTCGTTTTCTCCAAAAGACCCATATAGCTGTGGGTTATCTGCATATTGGTGTGTTTTACAGAAAGAGATAGATTTATAGAAATCGCATGTATAGATCGAAAATAAAAGTGGGGAGAGTACCGACCCCTGTGGTACACCAACCCTCACAAGTCCTAGCCAACGCACTGCATCCTACTACCTAGAAAGCTGTTTAACATGTTAATCGCCTTATCCTTCAAACCAATATGATGCAACTTTGCCAATAGAATTTTGTGACTTAAGGTATCGAACGACTTGGAGTAGTCAAGAAGGCAGAGAACAGTGGCTTTACCACCGTCCATCGCTCTCACCGCATCATCCACGATATCAAGCAATGCAGTAACGCAGCTGAAACTCGGACGAAAGCCAGATTGTCGATCGGGTAGAATGTTATTATCCTTATTATGGATAATAAGATACAATACACCTTGGACAGAACTGGAAGAATACTAATCGGTCTTAGATCTGTCATTCTCTGTGGATTATTAATTTTGGGAAAGGGATTTATTAAAGATATTCCATGCTGCTGGAAAAAGACTAGTCTCAATTGCGCAATTTATAATATGCCTAATATATGGTGTAATATGTGGGCAACATAGTTTAATAGTTTGCATGTTTAATTTATCATGACCTGTGGTATTACTCTTTATCCGTCTTACAGTGTGATCCACCCTAACATCTTCAATCTCATTAAACTCAAAAATAGCCCCACGTATAGCTCTATTTAAATAATGATTATAGAGGTCTTCAGCTCTTCGCTGTCCACTTATTGTCAACATTTCCTATTTGTAATTCAAGATAAATTCTGTACGAATAGCTTCCGTAACTGTTTTTCTCATAGCTTTGTAAAAAGTCCAGTTATGTGGTAATTTCGATAATCTCTAAAATCACGATATGCTTTATCTCTTAAGTTCTTGCATGGACCTGATAGTGTCAGTAATCCATGATGACTGGAGTTTTACAAATTTACAGGTTCTTAGTGGACAATATACCTTCAGAACACTAAGTATGGCGCTGCTTAAGAAATTTACTTTAGTGTCGACATCTGGCATGTCAAAAATACAGAAGAATAGAATCTTGTACAGATCCTCTATGAATCTGTCATACTGAAAATCACCGAAACAGCGAATGGTCCTGACTATGAATGGCGCTCTTGGCGGAGACTTTAACTTCAATTTACCATAAATTAAAAAGTGATCAGAAGTCTCAGCCTCCTCCAGGACGCCAACCTCCTCAACCATGTCAATCAAGGTAGAAGACGACTGCGTTACACGTGTCGGTTTATCTACTATTTGACACAATCCAACAGAGCAGAAAAGATCCTGCAATGCCTTAGTCTTTCGATCAGTTATGTTCATCATATCAATATTCAAATCCCCAAGAATTATTAGAAATGGTGTTGGTTGTTGTTCCTCTCGTGCGGATACTTGTTTAATGATATTGTAAGCTAGAAGCTTTGTGAAAATCTTTATGGTGGTAACCAATAGCGATATATCTCGGTAGTTATTAGGGTTATCTAGCTTCCCGTTGTTGTGCAGAACGATATTTGTATTTTGCTTCCAATCCTTTGGCACTTGCCTGGTGGTGAGGATATTGTTAGGTGAGTTAGCGGTATCCCTTCATATTTTAAGTGTTCATTTCTGATATTGTTTGGACAAAACTTTTCCGATTTTGATTTTGCTCATTACTCGTTAGTAAAGTTGTGTTAGGATTTGCATTTCAATCATGTGTGTTTAATGCATTAACACGGTATAACATGACTTACAGTTAGAAAAACACTCAGTATAAGACTAATTATTTTAATATTATTTGAAACGGTATATATTAACATAATTGCAACAAAAATCGTTATCTTTGATATACGATCCTTTCATATTTTAATGGTGTAGACAAAATTGAATATGAATGAATCGTGTGTCGAGCAAGTGTAATTATGTATAAGCTTCAAATAAATATTAATCAGCTCTCTATCTAATGTCACGACAAGAGCGATTAAAGAACAAAGAAAAATTCCTTTTTTAAATTAATCTTAATATACACCCACTATAAAAATTCATTTGATTTATATTTATATTTATACGATTGTTAAATCGATTTAAATTTTGGCTTTTGACATACAAAATCGTAAAAATTTTATGATTGTAATAAAAAGTTCGCCAAAAATAACTTTTTAAAATTAATTTTTCGAATTTTCCACTCAATTAGATTTACTCCTATTGAAAATCATCGTAATCTAATAATAATATTTAACTGATTTCTGGTGTGAGCGTGCGCGTTCAACAGTTGTCACCGGGGTTTCGAGGGGGCTCGCGGGGCATCTTCCAGAGCAGCAGCCCTCCGGCCCAGTCGTTCAGCGTCGACCCTTGGCTACAAAAGATTCATCTCGTCATTAACGTGCATTTTCTTTAAAAAAAATTACCCCAAATTTCTTCAAGTGGCCGAAAATGTCATTGATTTAAGAACGATTTCAAGACATTCTTAAAATGGTACGTTTTAAGGGAATTTTATTCTTTGCGTAGGGCATTTTTATGGCTTTCCTTTTAAAGTGTATTGATTGCATTTAAATTTTGTGTTTTAGAATTAAATGTTGATTTAGAATGTTTAGTTAGAAGTTGATTTAAATGTGAATTGATGTAAGGGCAATTAAGGCGTATTCGATGTTAATAAAATACTAATGAATGAGTAGTTGTAAATCGCTTTATAATGAACTGTATTGAATTTAAATAAATTAAAAAAAATATCACAATAAATTAGGTGTGTTTATTGGCGATAAAAATTGTTAAAAGAATATAGTGTTTAAAAGATTTCCATTTAAAACGTATAATTTGTGGAAATAAGGACATAAATTAGTATGAATGAAAATAAATTGTTGCAAGATCTATTTGTAGCCTAAGTCTCTTTCTTATTTGAATTTACAATTTTCTTAAAGGTATTACTTATTCTCCTACTGTATCTGAACTTTGAAACGAATAACCGAACAATATCCGGACAGAAAGAGAGTGTGCCACACGAGAAAATAAAAAAAAAATGTTTTAAAGGTTTTATACAATGAGCCCAACCCATTTTAGTATCCATGATACCTATCGTTTGATAAGTTGTAATCGTGTGATTTTTCTCCATCCTTGACATTCACTCCAAGTGACACCACGAACAATCTTACTATTAACATTTTTTTTTAGTTCATTTATGTAAATTATTTAGGTCTAACGTCCGTGTTCTATGTACAAAACTTTAATAAATTAATATCCAATTAGAAAATCGATGATTGAGCGAATGACTGATTAAGTTGATAGTTGTCTGGAACGTTAATTTCATTTTTTAATTGAAACAAAATGATTCATATCAAGCATGTTTAAGGCGAACAGGTTGTAGATATTGTTAATTTAAAAAATATTAACCACAAAATACGTAATTTTATTTTATTACGTGACTGCAAGTAGAATTTTATCACTTAGCTCATCTTTATACAATATGTGGTTTTTCTTTCTAATGTTGTATTACGATTATTATTAACGGTATCTATTAATGTGTTGTCTCTGGATGATAAAATTAAGTAGATATAATCCAGTCGTTATAGAGGTAACAAAATTGTACTCAAACACCATACGTTTAATCAATTCTAAACCATGTTCAAAGAATGGTTTTATGTTTTTGTAGACATAAAAACCCCGGGAGCATTAATACAAGTAATATAGCTGATTTTGCTTACTTTTGATTATGAAATGCAAATTGCAAAGACATCATACTTCCCTGTAATTTTGCTACAACTATCAACATATACTCATACAACACTTTGTCTTTCAGAACGACTGACGTAAATAATTGGTTGTGATTATTGAAATAAGAGTCCATAATTATGTTATGCTTTTCTTATGTATTACACTTGCCATGAAAAAAACTTTGGGAATCAAGCAAGGTACTAATTTTTATATCGTACATGTCTAATTTGAAGAGAAAACTTATCATCTGCTCGTCAATCCCTCAAAACTAATGTGTTGATTGATGTACTTTAATACGAAGAATCTGCATGAGTTGGGTTGGTTCTAAAAAAACAAAGGTTATGGCAGACTCAAATCGAGATTTAGATATTATAGTTTTATAAGTCAACAACAAGAAAAAACCTGTTTTTCACCTACTTTTATTTGCCGATATCTCCGCTATCTTTTGAGATAACTGGTTGTGCTGTCGATATGATGAGCATCAACAAATAACGAACGTCACCCATATACTTATCTATACACTTCAAAATTGTCAAACTTCAAGCCCGGATGCATCTTGGGCATCTCTGGGGCAATCGGATGCATCTAAATACTGGTTTTATCCGATTAATATCCAAGAAACACGCCAAATAAACAACTCTATACAATGAGAATCAATTTTTTAACTTTTCATTTCGTAGGGGTAAAATACTATTCACCACGTATATGATTTTGATAAAAAGCAAAAAATTATTTTCAACTTTATTATCGTCATGTCAATATCATTCAACCATGTCCTCAATTGGATCAACAATGAATTTTGTTTACTTTTGTTGTATATGGGTTTCTTGTTCCGAATGCTGTAAATTTCTCAATTCGTTATAGTTTAGACAAGATGCACTATAGACAATAGACAAATTAAAACATGTCGTTGACTAATGCCTACTCTCACTCACTGATCAGAGAATCTACCTGCAACCTGAGAGAACCCGCTAAGGGCAATTTTTATTTTTATTTTATTTTATTTATTTTATTTTTTTATTTGGGATGCAAACGGGACAAGCCCAGCGAAGCATCCACTAAAAATATACAATATTATAAACAAGAATTTAGCAATAAGTAACAAAAGAAAAAAATATCAAACAGGTTAACAAAAAAAAAAAAAAATGCCAACAGAAATCAAATTTAACAAAAAAGTGAAACTTAAACAAAAGTAATAATCAAAAATATTGAAAAAAAAAAAAAATCAATCAAAAACAGAATTAACGTCGCAAGTCAATGATGTTACTATATGGTGGGTTCCAGATCACAAAGACATTGAAGGCAATGAAAAGGCGGACAAGCTGGCCAAAGAGGCAGCGAGGACGCTGTCTATTTAACCCCAACCCGGTTGTGGACTACAAAAAAAGCCACTTAAAACTGTAGCTTTAAGCTGGAAAGAACTTCCTTAGATTAGCACATGTCGCTGACTAATGCCTACTCTATCGGCAACCTGAGAGATAAGACACAAAATTTTCGGTAAAGTCTCAAGAACCTGCATTTGCCCTAAACCTTTGGAGGGCTTAAGATACAATAGATCTTATAGGTCACGGTGACGAGAATAGAATAATGGCTACTCGATATTATGATCAAAGTTAATGAAATTGTCATTAAACCCAACTTGTCTTTAGAATGGAGACAATATTGGGCTTATTATATTACGGATGAGATACTACAATTGAAACTGTCAATGCTGATTATACCCTCGCCCATAAGCTTTTGCTGTGACTTTTTGCCTAGACTATCAGAAAATGACTTCATGACCTCAGTTTATAATAATTATTTGCATAACAAGTTCACGAAACATTGCTATTTGCGAAGAAGATATTACAGTCGAAATCGGAGCAGCTACAATTGAAGCCTTCATCATAGCCTCTGTCGCAAACGATCGTGGCGTCTCTTTACCCAGGCTATAATAATTCTATAATAATTATTTGTTACCTGAAAGGAAGATACTAAAAGCTAAAAAATCCTAAAACCTAAATTATTGAACTCAGAAGACATAATTTGATCCAGGCCACTAAACATAGATGTTTGTAACCTCGGTTGATAACAATTATTTCCACAACATGATTACAAATCTTTGTGATCTGCAGCCGAAACACTACAATTAAAATCTTCAATATTCATTACATGTAGTAGATATCAAGTAATAAAATTAGTAGCGTCTACATCCTTAATCAATTGGAAATAAGACTTCATAGCTTATCTGCGAATAAACAGACACATGTAATATTGCGGCAATTATAACCTCAGTCCTAAACTGGTATTTTCTTCCATTCGGCTTGGACAAGCCACGTAACTTCTTTAATCGATTTTATATCTCTTAACTCGACGATTCAATTCATTCCAGAGATTCTTAATAATGTTGATCAGTATACTAATCGATGGTGGACCTTGCAATGTGACATCTAGCATTATCGTCCTATATGTTTATTCCTTGAAATTACTATAACGTAGGAAACACACTTCTCTTAACAAATTATTTAAACAAGATGTTTCCAATGAAGAATGTATTCGGGCAGAAAGTTTTCTCCAGGGTGATGCCAGACCCAGAACCTGCCAACCGAACGGTGGAGCATAAAATTTGATTTGTCGCTCCAGATAATACTGTCGATGTGTTTTGCACAACATTAACCGAGCAGTTCGGTTAGATTTAGTGATCAAAGGCTTATGAGCAGTAACACGACCATGAAAATGGAGTAAATGTGCCTTATTACGGATAAAAACAACAATCCCTATCGAAACTTCAATCATTTAACTCGGTAGATGTACTCCTTGAGGATCGGCCATTTCTGTGATACCCGACGATTACACTTTTTTCGAAATCAGAACTCGACACTGTGTAGCATCTTGCGTGCGAATAAACTCTAAATGATATCAAACGACGAAGAATGCGAGGAATGTCTGGACCACCGATATCGGCATTGCTATCTATGGGGAAGAGATTAAATGTGAAGTGTTAGACCTCAAGTCTTCTTGCACCCAGCTGGCATTTAGTAATTACCAAAGCATCTCCAAACCATTAGACATAAATCTTCGTAGTTCGGTTTCCAATAATTACTCAGAACTGCAAAAAAGGAGTTGTTGATTGTTGTTGTATGGCTGACGATCATTTTCGAAGTAATTTTCTGAGTAGAATCAGAATCCGAGCGCAGAAATGAGCTATCATGTCAGGATTTGCTACTTTTGAAGTTATGTGTGAGACACGTGTGTGACACGAGCGGTGTTGTACGATTTTTCCATTATAAGTTATGGCCATTTTAAAATGACGTATGTAATTAGTTGGAACCCAGCATATGGATCAGCACTGTCAGATGCGAGGGACACACCAGTCGAATTTTGTATTGCATTTAACTTTTATGGAATCTTTTTTGCTTGAGTTTCATAGATTTTGTGCCAGATTGCCTCTTGTGTTGAGCATGTGCCTTATAACATTGAAGTGACCAGCAGAGTTAGCTAGTATAGATGTGGACCATTTTTCCTGATACCATCTTTCCATTTCTTGTACATCCAGATGGAAATCTGAAAAGCTTTTCACTAATTGTCAGAAAACCATTGTGGTTTTTTTGATTCTTTTAAGTGTAAGGAATGAGCAATGAGTACGGCGGCTGGTACTCATACTGCGTTCAGTGTTCAAGTTCACGATAAAATAGAGCAAAAAATATTGTACATAATTTTAAAAGTAGCCAAAAAATCCAATTTGTTTTGTCATGTCCTCAGATATCTCAAAATCTTGACGTATTTAA